GAATGAATTTTTAACCTTATCCTTATAGAAAGCTAAATATCATTTTAATGGCTGCCAAAAACATTGAAGTTTTAACATTAATTGATGGCGAAGAAAACAAATCTTATGTTCTTCAAGTTACTACAGAAGAAGCTGAAAGAGCTAGAAATGGTAAAAAATTTTAATTTTAAGTTTTTAATTATTACACAACATACCGAAAATGCATTTTAAATTCCATTTCTGAATATGATGATACAATATTTTCTACATAATTCTGGTATCGTATCCTTGGTACATAGATTAATCGATTCAGTTTAACTATTATTTCAATATCTGAATCACTTGAATCACTAGAATCACTTGATTCATATATACTATTCATTAACGTATTCACAGCCAATGTTATTATATCTTTATTATTGTCTACCGTTTCATTTATTGTAAAATAAATAATTCGAGAGTAACTTACAGAAACTTGTTGGAAACATACTGCTAGTGCGTTCCGTTTTCTCTTTTTGCAGTAATGAAAAAGTNCATAAAGTTAAAACGGAACGTTATCTACAGTACACTTCTGTGACGTCATACCACTAGTACTGGCAGTACATTTCGGAACGCAGCCTTGGTGTGAATCAGAGAGAAACCTGAGAGCGGCCATCCTAATGTAATTTTTTACGACGGTTTCAGCCGCTGGTTTTAGCCGTATTTCCACAAAAGTGGAACTCAAAGGCCGTTCTACATTAAACGCAAGTAGCAGATCTCGTGGAATTGACCAATTGCAGAGTCAAATCAGCCAATCGACCAACATGATTAATCAGTTCCACGAGATCTGCGACTTGCGTTTAATGTAGAACGGCCTTTGAGTTTCACTTTTGTGGAAATACGGCTAAAACCAGCGGCTGAAACCGTCGTAAAAAATTACAATAGGATGGCCGCTTTCAGGTTTCTCTCTGGTGTGAATTAATGCTTCGGTGGAAACTAGACCAGTGATAGTGAGAGATGCCCCTGTTCCGTTATTACTGGCAGTACTGAGAATTTATAGGTTCACGTTAAGCCTCTTGCACAATGGACGGAATAGCGATAGCGATAGAAATAACAAAAGTTTTAAAAAGTTTATATTTAAAAATAAAGGTAGGAACAGCGGAATCTAACATACAAAACTACACATGTATCAATGCAGATCAGAAAATCGGAATAAGCAATAGCGATAAAATTTCCGACGAGTTGGAATTCTGTGTTAAGAACTGTGTTATTTCTATTGCTATCACTATTCCTTCCATTGTGCAAGAGGCTTTACGTACATAGACGTATCAAGAGGCACGGTAGTGCCTCGCGCCAAGTATGGCTGCGTTCGTTTTTTACTGGCAGTACTGCCAAAGTGACGTAATAACAGTGCACTGCCGTAGCCGTTCCGAAATTACTTCAATGCTACCAGTGCAAATGTCAGGGTGTATAAACGAACGGTGTTACAGTACACTCACGTGACAGTATAAAAAAAGATTACTTGCAAGTACGTTATTAACCAAATCATGGACAAAAAACCTATTGTGGCAATATGTACAGCTATAATANAAATTATAGATGAAACAAGTAGTAGTAGTTCGGAAGAAGAAGAAGAATTGTTATCTTTCTCATAGGTTGGTTTTACTTGCATACACGAAAAGTGTAAAGTGTACACCTTACACTTTTAATACATTACACTTTTTGGAAGTGGGGGAAACATCGTGTAAAGTGTATGCTTTTCAAGAAAAACGCCAGAGTGTAACAAAAGTGTACTACAGTGACTACGTTTACACGCACTGGTAAAACCGTTTTAATTACAACC